CAGAGAGATACCTGGACATGTGGTGAGTCCACAGTCAGTGTCCACCCCAAGGTTGGGGAACTTGCTGATTTTGGAGTCAGAAACCAGCAAACTCTTTGGAAGGAAGATGGGAATTCCAGGCACAGAGCACTAGCTGGTAGCAGGGCTTGTGTATCTGTAGGTCCTTCCTGTTCAACCTGGATTCTCTGCCAGCCACCCCCTCTTCTGGCCCTGCACACAGCACTCTTGTCCTAGTAGGAGAACATCTTTCTGACTCTGACCTGAAACTGGAGGAGAAACAGAATAGATGCCAAGCAAGGAGGGTAAGGAGAATAAGCACCTCGGTCCTTAGCTGATTACTTCCTGAGGATTCTTTTGCCCAACAACAGTGATGATGATAGTTATAGAAGCCTAACGGTGTGCCAGGCCTTAGGGTCCTCTGGCTATAATCTTTACCCTCCTGTTTTGCCTGATTCCTGCTCACCCTCTGGTTGCTACTTGGACATCTCCTCCAGAAAGAAACCTGGCCCAAGCTGCTCCCACTCTGTCCATGCTGCCCGACACCCAAGGCTTTATAGGGAAGCCGGACCCCATACCGCAGCCCACACACTGAACAGCTGCCCCTGCTGTGAAAAAGCCATCAGGCACTGACTGTCTCAGCCCATCCCAAACATGTCCCAGTTCAAATCCAGCCCACTCAGCCAGGAGTCTTTTTTTTGGGGGGGGCATCCAATCGTGGGGCCTGAACTCTGGGCCTGGGTGCTGTCCCTCAGCTCTTCAGATCAAGGCTAGCGCTCTACCACTTGAGCCACAGCGCCACTTCCAGCTTTTTTCTTATGTGGTGCTGAGGAATCGAACCCAGGGCCTCAGGCATGCAAGGCAAAGCGCTCTACCACTGAGCCACCTTCCCAGCCCAGCCAGGAGTCTTGACCAGAGACAGCACAGACCGGGCGCAGGGTATGGAAGATGTCAGAAGACCCCAACTGGTGGCTCATTCTTCTGATTATGTATTACTGTTTGGGTAAGGTAGGAAGTTCCCCAGAAGCAGAGGTACAAAGACATATGAACAACAGAAAAGCAAGCAGCACCTCTCAGGACCATCTGCAGCACTTGTGACCCCAGGGCTGGCTTGTCTCAGCCTAGTTGTCATGACCTCTGACACCTTGCCTTCTCTGGGCCACAGATTCTCCATCATCTTCCATGAGGGACTGCACAGGTAATACCAGGTAATAACCCCCTAGGCTGGGCCGCTGGCCCTGTGCTCTCAAACCTGGGCTCACAGAATGCAGGGCAGGAAGGTTTAGACTCTCTGCAGACAGAGAAATAGGCCCAGAAAAGGGGAACTTTCTCCAGTTTCCTAGCTTACACTAGAGGTGAGCCGGCCCAGAGCACAGGCTCTGGGGTTTAAACCATTTTGTCCACTGGAGGCCCAGCAACTTTACATACTAGCACAGAGAGCAGGTATGAAGGCTATCCCTACTCCCACCTCCACCTTGCCTCCCATCAAAGCCAGAAGCTACGAGCAGATTCTGGCTGCTGTTCCTTGTCCCCGGCTGAGGTCACCAAGCACTCCCAGGGGTCTGGAGTAGATCCACCTGGCCAGAGACTGTGGTAGAACCTACCTCGAAGCAGTAGTCCTGGCCCAGGATGCTGCTGTGCACAGGCTTGATGACCACCTCCTCCTCCATGCTGAGGTCCAGCGCCTCCACTGCGCTGCTGGGGCTGAGCAGGGACTCGTGGGAGCGAGACTCCTTCAGTCTTGGCATCAGATGGGACCTGGGGAGGCAGGCAGGGTGTCAGGAGGGCCTTCCAGCGTCTGGACCAAGCTGGTACCAGTTGGCCAACTCCCCTCCTCCCTACCCCACACTCCTTTGTCTTTGTATTTGGAAAAGTTTGGGTAAGGGTATCAGATCCATTAGAGTTTGTGAGCCAGGGTCTGCCTTGATTCTCCAACAGCCCCAAAGACCCCTGTCCCAAGGAGTCTTCTGGATCTTTCTAACCTTCCCTGGCCTCTGCCTTGGTCCCTATTTAAGACTAGTGTTAGTCACCCTGTCCTAACAATTGTCCAGGCTGCTACAGCTAGCAGAGCCCTTAATTATGACTGTTCCACTCCACAGTCCCACACCAGGCAGAAGAGTCCCTCTACTTGACAAACAAGAACAAGGAGACTCAGAGTAGAAGGAGTGTGGCAATTTTTGCACAGTACTCCAAACACCAATACTGTCAGGGTCCACCACCCGGAACTCCTCCTGGGTCAGTGGATCAGACCCAGGCCTGGGCTGAAGCACTAAGCTGCCACCTGTTAACCAAATATGAGCCCAGACATGCACTGGCTCTTAATACACTCAACCTTGGACCTGGGCCTGCTGCTCACCTGCTGTACAGTGTTAGGCACATTATACCAATCTGTACCTCAGTTCCTCTGTGCATTACACGGACATCTCACACTGCCCACCCCCAACACCCAGGAGACCAGTCAGCCTTTTCCTTGGCCTTGGCATGCCCAGTCTGAAGCTGGCCTCTGAGAACTCTGAGGAAACAGGTTCAACCAGAAGAGGCCTGTGGCGTAGGCCCAGCTTGGAGCCACATGACTCCACTATGGCTCCCCCAACGTTTGCCGGTATAGTCTGAATTCACTGCACACATACACAGCTGTGTCTCTACTCCTCCAGGACCTTCTAGATGCCTAGATCCCACAGGTACACTGTGGCCTACCTCGTACAGCATACCATCCCTAGGGTGTTCAGACAGGTTTTTTCCCCCCACTCGACATTAATCCCTGCTCCAGTAGCCTGGCCCCCTCCCTGCCTTGGTACTAACACTATGGATTGGGGGGTGGGGTGGGAGGGGGAATCTTCCTTTCCCTTGGCTAGGATCCAACCTGGGGCTGGGCAAGGCAGCCTACCGTCCTGCCAGCTGGAGTAGCATACAGCAATGGAGAAGACACCCTGACGGGGGTGTTCAAGAAGTGACCTCCTCTAGGCAAAGCAGAGACCTCAGCCCCTACACCTGGCAGTCAGATTTAAAAACAGTCTGTTGCCAGCCAGAATCAGCTACTTTCTGGCTCAGGCTGGAAAACTCCATTTGGATCCTAGGAGTTAGGGTAGGTACAGGCCCAGAAGTACAAGGGGTGGGGCTGGAGAACAGGGGCCAACTCCTGCTTCAAGATCCAGGAGAGAATGGCAGCAGCTTCAGTGCCCTGGCCATGTCTAAAAAGACCCAAAGACACAAAAGGGTCCTAGCCCTGAAGTCCCAGGAGCCCAGTAGGTGCAAGCCGAACTCCCAAACCCACAGGCCCAAAGCCTGTGGTGGTAGAAAGCTCCCCTTCCGTCTTTACCATGCTGTCCCACAAAGAAGTGGGGGAGGTCCCAGGCAATAGGGAGGGCCAAGGGAAGCTCAGGGCCCTTAAGATATCCTGGACTCACCCAGCCCAACTGGCTAAAAGAGCTGGGCAGCCTTGACTCTCTTACCTCCCCAGAGTTACTGGAGGAAGGGACTGGAGCAGAGAGAAGGTGGGGCGAAGGTGCATCAGTCTAACAGCCTGAGCTCATTGGAAGGAAGATGGGAATTCCAGGCACAGAGCACTAGCTGGTAGCAGGGCTTGTGTTTCTGTAGGTCCTTCCTGCTCAACCTGGATTCTCTGCCAGCCACCCCCTCTTCTGGCCCTGCACACACACACACACACACACCCAAGCTCTCACACACACACACATACACACACCCAAGCTCACACACACACACACAAACACACACACACACAAACACACACACACACACACACACAAGCTCCCATGTTGGCCTTGAGCAGGAAGTGGCCTGATAACCCACCCTCGCATCTGCTCTGTCCTTTCTCCCAGGAAACAACTACACCAACAGAGTCTGGGCTCAGGGAGGCAGTCTGCACCCAGCACCAGTGCCCTGTCTTTCATGAAGCCTTCCTGGACCCCTGGGGCACAGCCAATAATGCTCATTTACTAGCCTGTGCCAGGAAAGTCTTGTTAGTTGCCCCCCTTCCCAAGCAGGGGACTCCTCCCTGTAAGGCTCCCTGTAAGGCTGGGCCTGACTTAGCTTTGAGTTTTAGAGCCTCAAAGTTTGGGAATCAAAGTCCCACTACTCTTACAGCCCAAGTTAGCTGGCTGGCTCCCTGGAGAGGAGGTAGGCTGGGACAGGACAGACCTCCCTGAGCCCAGGCTCTGTAAATGTGGCTGTTTCCTGGGACAAAGGAGAAAGAAGGCATGGGGGTGGTTAACAGGGCATTTCCTGCTCCAGTTGCCCCAAAAGCAACCCCTCAATGTTCATCCCAGAATCTCTGTGAAAAAGTCTTCAGGGACTTCGCTTCTGTGGTAATACCATGGTTCCCCAAGCTCCAGCCCTCTCCAAGATCTTCCCCCATGTGGTAGGTCTTCTAGGCCCCACGACAGTCCACCCTCCAGAGATCTGAGGCCCTGTCTCTATCTCCTCCTGTGCATGGAAGCTTGTACCTCCTGGGGAGGGGTAGCATGAGGATTCCCAGGTCACTCTCAGGCTAGTCAATAGAGGAGTGTTCTGCTGGCTTCCCAGTCTAGACTACACAACCACAGCAGCATCTTCCCCAACAGATGTGTCCCTCTATGCCCCATACCTCACTCCTCTCCTCCTCTGTCCCCTCCCAACTTGTAAGAAAACTGAGTCCCAGAGGCTTCAAGCCCAGTACCCTGCTAGGATCTAGACACAAACTGCCCTCTGGGGGATTTGGCCCATACTTTTTCTTCAGCCTCCCAAATCTTTCCCATCTCAAGGTCCAACCTGGGGCCACCACGATGCTGTCCCCTGTTCTTTCCCAACAACTTATGGCCATGCCACCTGCACTACCTCATACCACACAGTCTGCCTGTGCCCTCACTTTAATTCCCATCATGTCCAGACTGACATACTGCAACCCAGAAAGGCGAAGTGAACTTGCTCAGGATCTCATGGGAGCAAGTGACCATGTGGGATTTGACTGGGTGGGGGCCAAGGCTGGCTATAGCAGCACCAGCCACAGCCTGAATCTTTCCATCACCATGCAGTGGCCACAGGCAGTGGGGGGAAGGGGAGTCAGGCTGCCTGCTGGCTAGGCCAGGAAATGTGGGCACAAGCAAGGGGGAGCTGCTGCTAGGGGTTGGAGCCAGCCGACAGCAGTTTATTGTGAGGGTGGGGCAGCAGGAACAACAGGACATTGTCCCCAGGAGCTCAGACTTATCTGATAGCCTTCCAGCCAGCCCACAAGCTGGTTTTCAACTCTGAACCTTTTTTTTTCTCCTAAAAGGTTAGAGACAGCTCGGCAAACTCTCCATTCTTTCAAGGAAAAGGGGAATAAAAACTCCAAACTCGTTAAATTAAAAAGCTCTTCTTAGAATGAACTTGTGACTTAGAAACTATGTAATCACTTAATCACAATCAAAAAAAAAAAAAAA